TCCGAGTTACATTAAGAACCAATTGTATGATAGATAACAAAAATGAAAAATAAATAAGCCAATCAGAGCGTGGTCCATATCGTGGTTTTTAAATCCTAAAAACCACTACTATTATACCTCGATAACAATGATAAAGTCATCGTCTTGTTCTATTCTTTGTCTGATAAACTCCAATAACAATGATTAACTCATCGTCTTGTTCGATTCTTTGTCTGTTAAAACTCCGAAAACAATGATAAAATCATCGTCTTGTTCTATTCTTTGTCTGTTAAAACTCCGATAATAATGATAAAGTCATCGTCTTGTTCTATTCCTTGATAAACTCTGATAACAATGATAAAGCCATCGTCTTGTTCGATTCTTTGTCTGATAAAACTCCAATAACTTGATAAAGTCATCGTCTTGTTCTGTTCTTTATCTGATAAAACTCTAATATCAATGATAAATTCGTCGTCTTGCTCTATTCTTTGTCTGATAAATCTCCGAAAACAATGATAAAGTCATCATCTTATTCTATTCTTTGTCTGAAATAGACCATCGTGACTAGGGGTATGTTGTTGGGTAAATGTATCATTAATGTATACCTCACGACCCCTTTTATTTATATTCTAATCATAGATATAATAGCCATTGACTTTTACGTATTTTTATACGACCGCAAAAAATTTTGCGGTCGCATATTGATATCAAGTCGTCGTCGGCGTCAGCGTCGTCCGAAGAAATTTGGTTTCCGGACAATAACTTTAGTATAAGTAAATAGAAATCAATGAAATTTAAACACAAGGTTTAAAACCACAAAAGGAAGGTTGGGATTGATTTTGGGGGTTATGGTCCCAACAGTTTAGGAATTAGGGGCCAAAAAGTGGCCCAAATAAGCATTTTTCTAGTTTCCAGACAATAACTTGTGGAACAGTGTATGGATCTCTCTGAAATTATACCACAAGTTTCCATACCACAAAGGGTTGGTTAGGATTGGCTTTGGGGGGTTATGGCTCAAACCGTTTAGGAATTAGGGGCAAAAAGGGGGGAAAAACAAGGGTTTCCTGGTTAATGGACAATTACTTAAGTATTGGTCTTTGGATCTCTATGAAATAGATGTTGGACCATTAAGCATTATATAAGGGATAGCATTCGATTGATTCATGATATTTTACAGTATATAGAAGAGAACAATATTTTGGGATTTTGATTTTGAGAAAGCTTTGATTCTTTATGTTGGGACTTTTTGCTATAAGTATTACAATTTTTCATGCTATTAGTATTACAATTGTTTTCATATGCTGAATCTAACTGTGTATTTGGTTGTTGGGCCCATTTTCTAATTGGTCCAAATTTTGGTCATAAGGCTATAAAATTTGTTTTGTTTGATTTAATAAACATTAAATAAAACTTAAAAGATAATAATTACAATGTTATATTTGAATTACCTCCCTTACATTGCTTTTAAATTATGTAAAGTTGTCAGCTAGTTCTAGTATGAATTATTTTTTAGCTGTTTCTAGAAACATCAAATACTGTGATGGAAGTATATATAATATAATAATAGTGTATATCAAAGGGTTCAGTGGTAATAAATTTTCATATTCAGAATTGTTTATTTGTGATCAATATCATTTGTTTTTTTTTAGCATTAAGAGTTACCTCCCTTACAATGTTTTTGTTATAAAGAAATGTTGTATTGTCTTGAGGTGATTAGCTGTCAATTTATTTTTAGAAGTTACTAATAAATGCTGATGAAGGTATATTAATTTTAGCCATGATTATGTATGTCATTTTCTATTTCAATACTTTTATGATGTATTTAAATGGGTTTTTATGGTTGTAAACTCCATTGGAAATTTGAAATGAGATTATGACCATATCTTGAGGGAAAGAAATTTTTTTTGGAAAAAGGGGAGGGGAGGTTAAAAAAATAAAATTTGGGGGGGGGGGGTAAAAAAAAATGGAGGGGGATGGGGACAATTTTTTATCAAGATTTCAGAAATTAAAAAGAAAATTTCTTCAAATATTTTTTTTTACCAAAAAGGGGGGGGGGGGGTAAACAAAATAATATTTTTTGGAGGGGGGTCAATTTTTCTTCAAGGTTTAGAAAATTGTCAATTTTCAAAAGAAAAATTGTGTGTCACAATTGCTAACTCTTTGTATATCGTCTGAAAACAGATTTACAAAGTATTGCGCAACAGCACTGTGTATTGCACAAAAGCAAGAAATTGAATATAAATTCAAATCATATAACCAATTCTAAGTTCTTTGACTACAGTTATTCTGTGTCAGAAACCTATTATATGTCAAATATTTAATTACAATCCAAATTCAGACCTGTATCAAGCGCGAATATTGTGTCCATTTTTGCCCCAACTGTTCAGGGTTGGACCTCTGCGGTTGTATCCAGCTGCGCTTGGCCTAGCAATTTATTAAATATACTTATATAAAATTAAGAATGGAAACGGGGAATGTGTCAAAGAGACAACAACCCGACCAAAGAGCAGAAAATAGCCCAAGGCCACCAATGGGTCTTCAACACAGCGAGAAAATCCCGCACCCGGAGGCGGGCTTCAACTGGCACCTAAACAAAAATGTGACAAATATGTTCATTTACTCCAATTTTCGTTCTGTATGTAGCATTCATGCGCAAGAATCAATAAACATTTGAAAATTTAAGAATTGATTTACGATATACAAAAATATACTTGTGAATTCTTACAATAATGAGATTTATCTAAAAAGTAAGAAATTTCTTTTTTCTATGTCTGAAATTGCCTTTAGTTTTGAAAATGGTTTTATTTAAAGGATTATAGTTTGTTTCAAGCGTTGATTATTACTCCTTTGATTATACATTTAAATTTGACTCTAGTAATTAAAACGCAGTTACATTCTTTTATGTTAAAACAATAGACACACGATGATCTAGATTAATTTGCACAATCTGGTTAAAATAGATTCAATCTGTATTTTGTATCCAATGACAAACTTAACGATGGTCTTAAGTTTTATATAAAAAAAAAAGATCGACTTTGGTGATAAAAATATACACGATAAATAAACCGTAAATATTCTAAATTGAGTTATTTGAAACGGACATAATGACATTCTCAAGCAATATACGCAGAACGTATACTGAAGCCAGAGACCTATATACACGTATATATGTCTCTGCTGAAGTCAAGTCAAATAGTCTATGGGAAGAAACCAACAAACAAGCATGAAAGCAAAACACTGGAAACTGTTCCACTGACAGGAACATGTTAGAAATAAAGACACATGTTCCTACCGACGACAGCCGGCCAGACGATGTAAATATCAACAAATTATATATGATGATCATACAAGTTATGGTCGTATAGCTTCCTCACGTCTTAAAGTATTTATACATCTTTCGCTTTCAATTTTTTTTAGCATTCATGGTGAAGATGTATAAATCCAGAAAACTCTTCAGTCATACCTCTATAAAGTTATTTTCATATCATGAAATAACTCCATTTACACTTTCTCATAACCCTGCTACAGCCGTCAGATAAGAGTACACCTGTATTAAATGCCATAATGAGGGAATGCAAAATTCAATAGTCTGGGACAAATGGTACATTACTACATAAGAATTTGGTTTTGGTGCTAAGAAAATTGAAGTCATTTTTGGAGCCCTTTATAGCTTGCTGATCGGTGTGAGCCAAGGCTCCGTGTTGAAGGCCGTACTTTGACCTATAATGGTTTACTTTTACAAATTGTGACTTGGATGGAGAGTTGTCTCATTGGCTCTCATACCACATCTTCTTATATCTATTCTATAGTATATTCTAGTTTACAGTCTTTCCTTTGTAGTAACGTCTTTTCAGTCCCTAAGTTAAAGCAAGCTTACTGGGGTATACGAAGTCGATCTTATATCTCAACTTTAATACCAAATTTCAGAGGCGGATTTCGGGTTGGGGGCAGGGTGCCCGCCCCCCTTATCGAGCTACATTTATGGTTAATCCAGACTTTTTACCGGTTCCACTCCAAACTTGGTCTACACCCCCCCCCCCCCCTTTTCAAAATCCTGGATCAACATGTATTTCTTAGGTACACCACGATTTTAAATGTTCAACCAAGTACAAAGGCGTAGGTTTTCGGAGGATTAAAATTGGCAAAGATTTTGATGTTTTTTTAATCAGGCCAAATACTACAAATTTCATATAGAAATAGTTGTGATTTTACTATTAATACAAAATAACTTCATTTTGACACATCACATTAAAAATGACGAAGTATTGATTCCTTAAGTGTGCATTATTTGTGTTGTAACGTCAGGTTTGGTCAAATTTTTCAATAATTCTTATCAGTTTTTTTGCATAATTTACTTTGTCCGGCACCCATGATCTAGAAGGTTTTTGTGTTTAGGGATTCAATATCATCATTGGCAACTTATGGTTACAGAACATTAATCCTAGGTTGCGGCCAAGTGTTTTCTCAAGCTTTTAGGTCCGACAAATGCACAAAAGTCTCATATTTTGACAATTTATATCAAAAATGTGCTGATTCTGAAGCTAAGAATGTACTCTTATGAAGAGATTTATCTTAATAAAGAAGTAAGGCTTTTGAAATAGATCCATTTAAAAATTAGAGAACCAAATTTTAGCAATTTTGAAATTTTATGATAAAGTTGAAATTCAAGGCCTAAAGTGAACCTTGTCCAAATTTCTATACGCTTGTATGCAGACTTGGGCAAAACAACAAAATTAAATATCCACAATTATACAATTTTTCCTCAATCCACGAAAATTTGCATTCACAAAAATAAATGAATTCACAGTATTTTCATACTATCAAATGACTTTTATATGTCTGTATGTGTGTCTGTTATTTTATTTTCCTTTTAAGTTGTTATTTTTTGGATCAACGTTGGTACAAACTGAAACAAACAGGTATGATTAAAGTATAGAACAATAAATCGTGATAGTAATCTAATTTGTTTCAAGTGTGACTAGTACATTTGACAAATATCACCTTTTAAATCAATCTAAGGTACACACATATTCTATCGCCAATTAGTTACTGTTTCCATGTTCCAGTATGTCTGCCAGCATTCGTCCACCAGATAAGACAGGAATTGGTGGTCCTGCACCTTTGCCTGCAAATCCTGGGAACGTGTTAAAAACACCAGATGATAGCATGAACAGTACAACTAACCAAACAAATGGTACTGTGCCTGTTAATGAGGCGAAACAGAATGAAACAGGATCGGCAACAAACATGCCAACAAATGCAGGTGAAACCACCGGAAGTATGGATTTAAAATCACCATTTGAAGAGAAACCAGGACGCACTCCTGACAAAATGACACCAAATGGATCTAAATCAGTTTCATATCCAATAGGAGGTGTCAGTCCACAACACGATAATGGGACAAACAGACCAGTAAGACCGATTTCTGCAAAATCAATGGCCGATGTTTTAAAAGCAGATTTAATGGTTTGTCCAATATGTGACAAGGAGATGACTGCGCCAAAGCAATTTCCATGCCTTCACGCATTTTGCGAGGGTTGTATTTCCTCTAATGTGGCAAACCTAAAAGATGAGGATCCCCATTGTCAAATTCGATGTCCAGTTTGCGAAATTCCAGTTTCAAATTCGCGTAATTACGTTGACGCCAAAGTTTTTGCTGAAAGCTTACCGCCGAGTCTTTTCATTTCGTCTTTGTTAGTACAGAAACAGATAAAACAAAAGCAATGTAAACCTTGTAACAATTCTGGAAAGAGAACATCAGCCGACTCATGGTGCTCTTACTGCGCAGAAACTTTGTGCCCTGAGCATTTGTCTTACCACAACGCTCTTACGTCACCATCCATACATCATGTGTTTAAGATGTCACAAATCGAGAAAAATCCTCAGATAGCGGAAACTTCCGGGAAATGTAATATTCATGAATACGAAAGGATCAAATATTTTTGTCAAGACCATAAATTTCCTTGCTGTGAGATCTGCTGGAAATCAAGTCATGAGTTATGCGATGTTGAATCTTTGGAATTGGCCGCATCTAGCGTCAAGAACAAACCCGAAACAACCAGGCTGATTGGGGATTTAGCAATTATGGGATCACATTCAGAACATATTCTCCAAGACAGGAGGAGAAATATAGATGATCTAGAGCACCAGAAATCAGAAGAGAAAAAATCTGTTAAAAAAATGCGCGAACAAATAAATGAACATCTGGACAAACTTGAGAGTAGCATGATGGATGATCTTGATAAAATTCATCGCCAAAAGACAAAAGAGATTGAAAAGGAAGTCCAACTTTTTGAACATAAACAACAAAGTGTTTCCTTTTATAAGCTTTTATTGGAAAGTGTCTTAAAGAACTCATCAGATGTCTTAGCGTTGACGGAACTTGCTAAAATTAGACACCAGTGTAAAATCCTGGACGAAAATTTGCATCATAGAATATCGAAACTCAAACGCACAGATTTTTCTGTTGTTTCAAATAATTTAGCTGGAAACATGGGAAAGCTGGCAGAAGTAGAAATCAAACAAAGGCCGATAACTCCTCCAACAGCATTTGAATCACGACCAAAACACAGCGGAATCTTAACACCAAGATCTAAACTTCTCCATCCTTCGCGGCGGGAAAAGGGCAATACCTTTCTTGTTCTAAGATATTCCAGCAGTAAAATAACAGGAGGGTGTTCATTGAAGTCGTCACTTCTTCTAGTTGATAATCGCGGTAAAGAAATACGCGGTTATTCAATAGAAGGTCATAGAGAGGAAAAACAGGTTTTCTCGTTTAAAGCGGAATCGGAAGCAAACCCGTTTGACATCACAGTTCTACCACCACGACGCTCGACTATAATGGTGATCGCTACAATTCCTCTGAAAAATCGATTGCAAGTTCTGGAGTTCGGAGATGACCACAATACAAAAGGAGCTTATTACAAGACCAATGGAAAATGCTACGGAATATCGTATATGGATGGATATATTATAGTTGCATGTCATACAAAGCTTGAAATATGGCGAATGGACGAGGACTATAATTTGATGTTCGAGAGAAGCATTTTGACCAAAGGGGATCACGTGAACTACGTCTGTGCAGCCGACAACAGGATTTATTATTCTGATTCGGCAGACAAAGGTTCTGTAGTTTGCACAACTTTAGATGGCACCAATATTTTTGCTTATAGTCATCATAATCTGCGGATGCCAATGGGAGTAGTCTTAGATCAAAGCGGGAATGTGTATGTAGCTGCATACTACTCGAATAATATACATTTGATAAGTCCCGAGGGTGTCCTAATGAAAGTAACAACACCAAAAGATTCGCACTTCAATAAACCATTATTTCTCATTGAAATGGACGGTAAAATTTTTGTTACATATGACAAACACAAAATAACGTCATTGCATTGACACTGTACTCTCCCGAATTGGTGTGCTGTGCTGTGTGTATGTCCAAATAAAAAGATAAAAAATATCTATTGTAGACCTGATGTACATTGGTGATTGGTGAGGTTGCTGCCTCATCGACGTCTTTCCGTCCGTCCGAAAGACCTCGGGTAGCATGCAGCGACTAAGGTTCAGACCAGGTATTGGTCTTGTTCATATACTTGTATATCAATGAATTCTTCACGTATGTTAATGGTTGAAATACTGGATTTAGACTCTGACTGTTGTATATTTTTGTAATCCATTTTAACTGGACTGTTTTTTCAAATGATTTGTTCTGTCCTTCTTCGATACAAGAGTTTCTATTGCTACATTGGTAACTTTTTTAATTACATTTCAACTTGAAATCAAATTACCATTCTAATATACTTTTAAAGTGGCGATTGTTGTTCACTAAAACACTTTTGCTGTATCTCAAATATATCTTACATCATTTTAGCATCCTCATCTCCATACCCAAAATATTGTGTGCATGTCAGAAAATGAAGGTAGAATACTTGTATCAGTAAAATATCACAAAACCACAAAAATAGGAGTAAACACAGTCAGAATCGCATGAACTCCAATTAAGTCATTCTACACATCTTGGCAGGTTATATATATGCAGGGTACCGAGATCTGCCGAGGTTGGTCGAATACAAAAATGCGAGACCATGACAAGCTCATCATCGTACGAATTATGCGTGGATTAACCGGCATGCGATTCCAAAGTAATGTCCAGTGTCAAGTATCACTGACAGGCAACCAAAAACAAAAACAGTAAATTCCGACGGAATCTGATGGAATCTATCACAAATTTACATTTTAGTTATATAAAATAAGGTGATGCGGTATGCCTTCGAATGAGACAACTATTTAGAGAGGTCAAATAACGTGGATTTAAGCCATTAAAGTCCACCGTACGACCTTCAACAATGAGCTAAACCCATACCATATAGTCAGCTATAAAAAAAGCCTCGACATGAAATAAAATGTGAAATAATTCAATCGAGAAAAAAACGACCAGTTTTATGAAAACAAAAATATACGAACTGAACAAATATAACAGACAGCAACCATGCAACGACAACCACTGCATTACAGGTTGCTGACTTGGAACAGGCACATAAATAAAGTTGCGGGGTTAAACATGGTTGTTAGCGCTCAACCCTCTCTCTAAGTTGAGAAAGTTTAGAAACTAAGACAATTTTTGTACCAAAATCAATGTTGCAAGCCCTTAGACAAAGTTTTATTTAGGGCTTACCTGTTCTTTTTGGGTTTCCAAACTTTATACAAAAATAAGGAGATGTTGTTTAATTCCTTATATATCTGACAACTATGCACCTAATTCAATAAGACAAAGCTGTAAACAAATCTCAGTACTGAACTCGTGGGTTATACTTATACATCCCAAACTGTCAAAATGTTAATATACAGCAATAATTTATTATAAACAACAACATATGTAACTGATGAATAAATCCTAAACATTTGTTTCTTTCTGTTTATGCCATTTGGATGAAGGACATTTAGTTCCTTTATCCGGAATCTTCCCCGATCCTTCCGCTGGGTGTGTCATGAGATTTGTTTGATGTATGAATTTTAAGATTTGGATCAAAATTAAAGATGACCTGCCAATATGAGCATTCGAGGACACTTAAGATAATTACATTTGGAAATAAGATTGCCACTTACAAAGGCCATTTTTTTGCAGTAATATTTGCCAATACGATATTATTTCATCTTGTTCGTATACAAATTTCACAATATCATTTATCAAAATATCGTTGCACAAATCTCTAGACTTGTATAACATCCTGTTTGATCAGCATCATCAATTCTAGACGATCCGATACTAGTACTTATTAAATTTGCTGGCTATTTGTTTTCTTGAGATTCTCGTATACGTCCGTTTGACAGTATTCGTATGATCATGACCTCGTTTTCGTGGTTCAATGGCAAACATAAAGTATATAATAAAGAAGTCATGTGGTATTATTGCTATTAGACAACTATCCAACAGAGACGGTCCAAATTAAGTAGACATAGGTCATTTAGGTCATCGTAATGACGTCAACATTGAGAGAGAAAACACTATTCGTATAGTCATCCATAAAAAAAAAAGGAAAAGCACCAAAATACTGAACACCGAGGAAAATTCAAAAATAAAAGTCACTAATCAAATGGCAAAATCAATTAAAAGCCCAAACACATCAAACGAATGGATAACAACTGTCATATTCCTGACTTTGTACAGGCATTTTCTTATGTAGAAAATGGTTAATTGAACCTGGTTTTATAGCTAGCTAAACCTCTCACTTGTATGACAGTCGCATCAAATTCCATTATATTGACAACGATGCGTGAACAAAACAAACAGACACAATAAGTAAAAATGTCAAAAATAGGGGTACAGCAGTCAACATTGTGTTATCATCTTAATCACTAAAAAAAAAACAAATGTAAAAAAAGAAGCACAAAAAGGCATGATACATCAAATTTAACATACTCATTTTGCTTTTTTATTATACGATTTTATTTATCTATGTAAAATCCACCCATAAAGGATGGAAGGTTTTAAGTACTGGCGTAGAATCTCGCGTTTGACGTCACACAGGTAGATATAAAATAATTTTGTCGTTCAAAGTATGACGGGATACATAAGTACACAGTCACGTCAAATGGATATCACAAAAAAAAAAGACTTAACAGTAAAAAGTAAAATCACAAAAATACTGAACTCCGAGGAAAGTTCAAAAAGGAAAGTCTCTTATCAAATGGCAAAATCAAAAGCTCAAACACATCAAACGAATGGATAACAACTGTCATATTCCTGACTTGGTACAGGCATTTTCTTATGTAGAAAATGGTGGATTGAACCTGGTTTTATAGCTAGCTAAATCTCTCACTTGTATGACAGTCGCATCAAATTCCATTATATTGACAATGATGCGTGAACAAAACAAACAGACATAATAGGTAAAAATGTCAAAAATAGGGGTACAGCAGTCAACATTGTGTTATCATCTTAATCACTATAAAAACAAACAAATGTAACAAAGAAGCACAAAAAGGCATACATCAAATTTAACATCCTCATTTTGCTTTTTTATTATACGATTTTATTTATCTATGTAAAATCCACCCATAAAGGATGGAAGGTTTTATGTACTGGCGTAGAATCGCGCGTTTGACGTCACACAGGTAGATATAAAATAATTTTGTCATTCAAAGTATGATGGAATACATAAGTACACAGTCACGTCAAATGGATATCACAAAAACAGACTTAACAATAATGGTAATATTAATAAAATAAAATCATTTTGTCGTTCAAAGTATGACGGGATACATAAGTACAGAGTCACGTCAAATGGATATCACAAAAACAGACTGAACAGTAAAAGTAATATTAATGAAGACAAATAAAAGAATAATATAACACGTTATTAAGACGATAAACAACGTCAGTACGCAGAATATATACTTCAAGACCATTGTGTATCATTTGTGAAGTTGATACGAAATATTTATCAACAAGGTCTTCGTACCTTCCGATGAACTTTTTTAGAAAAAGGACGAGACGTTCTTTGACATACCCCTGGTTCATCAACTTTTTGCTCAGACACTGGTGACGTTTTACAAAGTCTGAGTACGAGCTGCAAGCTCTTGAATACCGAATAAGTTGGGAAATGTATATCCCATATGCAGGTGAAGTTGGTACATTGCTACTAAGGTGGGGGGAAATTGATAATTTTAAAATTAAAATCGTCTCGTTTGTCATAGATTCTGGTACTGAGAAGACTGTGTATGTCAAATTCGAAGTATGAGTTTAAAAATGAGGTGGAGGAAGCCGTGTCTGTTGTTTCTTTAATTTCTAGTTCTGGGGGACATATTAATGGAACCTTATCAGAAAAGTTCGGGTTGTTAATGGAAAGAACATCATCAATATATCTGAAAGTGAAATTAAATAACCTGGCTTCTTTGATCTTCTTGTTTTTGACAAGTGTCTGCAGGAACTCCGATTCATATGAAAATAAGAGAAAAGACTCGACATGACAAAATGTGAAACAATTCAATACCAAATACCAACGGCCTAATTTACGACAAAACAATAAACTAATAATAGATATGAGAGACAACCACTAATTTATAGGCCCCTGACTTAGGACAGGTATAAATGGAATTTGGCGGGGCTAAAGTTTGCGAGCACTCAACCCTCCCATAACATAGGACAGTGGTGTAACAGCACAACATATATACTATAAATAATAGATCTATATTATGTGTATATTATGAGTTGTACAGTACCATCTGACAGTGTTTTTACAACTTACCTAAAAATCATTTTCATGCTTTAGTGATCAACTTCGAAAATAAGGTCTGTTTATCAGATACTAAAATCATCAGGCCAACTATAATTGGTATATAGATTGATTGTAAGGCATTCATTTGAGCCATAAAAGTGTCCACCCGGACTCTTTTTCACAGACAAGGTATATTTAAATGTGTCCGATGCTGCGAAAAAGTGTCCATTCAATCGGACATAATTTCATGATAAAATACTATTGAATTCTGTCCAATAAAGGTTAATTTTCAATAAGAGGACACGTTTTCACAGTAAAAAGTGTCCTTTAAAGGGAGATAATAAAAAAAGTCACTGAAATGTTTTAGCTATATTTAATTTTCTATTACTAAAACAAACCAATTAAGAACCAGCTATAATTTGATATAAACAAAAATGGAAGGTGTTAAATTCCAAAGCATTTTCAATTATCTTAGCTACAAAGATGTCGACAAAAAGTATCCACCAGCCTCAACTGACAATGAGAAAAGAACTATCAGGAGAAAAGCATCCAACTATAAAATAAAAATCTCGGATTCTGAAATTCAGTTTCTATACGCAGATATTCCTGTCACAATCCCTGTTTAAAGAACATGAAAGGCCAAATGTAGGAAGAACAGGATTTATGAGTACTTTTCTTGAATATTGCATGAATTTGTAAATTGAAATGAATTACATGTATTGTTATTCACATAAATGTATTACTGTTTTTGTGTGTATAAGTACATGTTTTATTGTACAAATTATGTTTAATTACACATGGTGATGATCACATTTTGAATGAATTCAATACTCCAGTTTACATGCCATGTTTTAATAGAGACAAAACCCCCATGCTAATTTTAAGACTTCAATTTAGATAAAGAACTGAAGCTATGTATACATTTTGTAGGTATTGAGAGTGGACACTTTTTTCACGTGAAATACTGTCCTTTCTATGAAGGACACTTTTCACACCTGTGAACACGATTTCATAGGTAAATATCGTTCAGACGATATTTCACAATAACATTATGTCCGTGGACACAATTTACTGTGAAAAAGTGTCCGGTGGACATAATTGCATGGCGGACAATATTTAATCCTACAAACAAGTCCGTCTGATAGGGTTGCTGAATGAAATGTTTTTGTGGATTACAGCAACCGAAATTAAGCGTAGGGCGGCATGATTTCTTTTCAGCAGACTAATACTTTGAGGTTGCTTTCAGTAACTGCGAATATTCTTTAATATGTAATATTTTCTTTTTTGTTTTACATTTTGTTAATCTACTGTATAAGATTAAATACAGGAGTGTTGAGATTTTATGTCACTGCATACGAAAAAAATGTTATTCGCCTCTGCTATGTTTCATGGTGTTACTGGTGACTATATGTTCTATTATTTTGGGTTTGCAACATGCAGATACATGTTAGGGATATCGGCCTATAATTAGCAGGTATGTACTTCTGACCTTTCGTGTATGCCGGAGTGGCATTTGCAGTTCGCCAGTCATCGGAAATCTGTCCTTTCTTCATTGAAAAATGGTAACTGATGGTTAGGAACGGAGCAATTTTACTGGCTAGTTTGTGTGGGTTAAGATTTTTCAGTTGTTTTTCCACTCTATTATTAGTGATGATTATTTGTTGGCTGTCTGGATAGTTTTCTGTTAGTTCTGTTATAGTATAGTATATTTGCTTTGTTTAATAGATCAGTTTCTAATTTCCTATTCTGTCTCTTAGTGTAGCTACTCCATTTTTATCACGTTTCTTGTGTTTGATGCAAGTCCAGAATCTTTTTGTTGGTGAACAGATGTCCTTTTTATCTTCTGGAGTTATTATATCTTAAGTGTATTTATTTTCAATAGGCGTTTCTTGATTTTCTTTGGATGGATTGTTTCAGATGTTTAAATCTTTTTATATCAGTATCATGGTTTGATTTCTTCTCTTTTTATAGGCTCGGTCTCTACGTCTCAATTTTTGTTATTTTTAATTTCCTTGGTCATCCATGGGTTTTTGTTCTTGGTCTTGCATATTTTGGAAGGTATATGTTGGTTTGTACCGCTTTCCAGGCCTTCCTTGAATATATTCCAGTGTATATTTATGTTTGTCTTTTTGTTCAGACTTTCTTTTTGAATTTATATATAAAGCAAATTCACATCTTCTTTTATG